AGAGTGTACCAGCCTTCTGGAAACCAAAAGAGTCAGAGAATACTCAAAGAAAGTGTGCTGGAGTGTTTAGAAAACACTGGAACAAAAGCCTCTCAACATAAAAACTCTCATTAACCTGAAACATAAGAACTGTGCATGTACTGGGTTTACCTTAGAAATTTTAACCCTGATTTCACCTGACCTTTCTACTCTATGTTGAATAAAATATTTTGTTAATTTGGAGTATAAAAACTTCTCAAGTGCCATTATGTCGTATAAGTTAAAGGGGGCTCCATTCCTTCCCTCAGGTTCCTTGGCTGAACAACAGCCAGAATATTATACTGTGACAGGGTGGGAAAGCCAGAATTCTTCAGGAAAGAAGAAAACAGACAACTGGGGCAGCTCAGAAAAACGGAGGCAAAATCTTGCTTCTAAGGGAGGGAAGTGGACGAGGGCATCATAGGAGCGTATTGGGCTGTGGACTGCATTGAAAGGAGAAATATACTTCACCTAAAATTAATAATAGGATGCTGCATACTTCCATTCATGTCCTAAAATTTAGTTACAAATATTTATGTAAGTCTTTAGACCTTAATGGAGCTGCGGTGGGTCAAATGGTTAAGACGCTGAACTGCAGGCTGTGGAAGGTCAGTAGTTCAGCGATTTGAGACCTGGGTGCCGCATGATGGAGTGAGCTCCCATCTCTAGTTCCAGCTCCTGCCAAGCGTTCCATACGCCTTGGTGTTTAGTCATGCCAGCCACATGACCACAGAAACGTCTTTGGACAGCGCTGGCTCTTCGGCTTTGAAACGGAGATGAGCACCCCAACCCTAGAGTCGGATTCGACTGGCTTTCGAGCAAGGGAACCTTTTACCTTAGACCTTAAGGGAAATAATGTCAAATTAGATGCTTCTACCTAGGCCTTATTCTAAATATTGTTTGTTCTTTTTATTAGCCCCTTAGCAACAGTGGACTCTCTTCATGGGGACTCTTTTCATTTTATATATATCTCTATCTGTCTATCTATCTAATAGCCAAGGTATCTAAATCCACACATCGGGGGCACCTGGGGGGCAGGGAAATTTTCCTGCACATTTGGAGCAATCCCCAGATGTGCAGAAAAATCGAAAAACTGAAAAAAAAACCTATAGGGGGATACTTAAATCCCCCCCAAAAGTAAAGGAGTGTTCCCTGCGCATGCTCAGGGAACACTTTGAGAAGGCTTTGCTGCCGTCGCTGCCATAGGGGGCGGGAGAATGCTTGGTGGGCCGGCCTCGCCGCCACTGCTGCTGGGGAGGGGGGAAGGAGAAAGCTTGGTGGGATGGCCTCGCCGCCGCCACTGGGGGGGAGGGAGAAGGCTAGGCTCACCTGCAGCCATGTCTCCTGCTACTTCTCCCCTCCTGTGAGTATTGCAGGTCCTGCCTCTTGTATATATATAATACTCAAGTTTCCCCCTCTGTGCGGATATCTAAATCCGCACATCGGGGGCAGAGAGATCTTCCTGCACACTTGGAGCAGTCCCCAGGTGTACAGAAAAATCTAAAAAGTTGAAAAATATATATGGGGGATATTTAAATCCCCCCCCAAAGTAAAAGCATTCCCTGTGGATGTGCAGAGAATGCTCTGGCCGTTGGGGGGGGAGGCTTGGTGGGCCCGATGGCTAGGAGCCATGGAGAGGGGCGGAAAAAAGCTCAGCAGGCCCATGTGGCTCGTTGCTGGTGTGGAGAGGCAGGGGGAAAGGATTAGTGAGCCCGGTGGCTGGGAACCATGCAGGCCTTGCTGTCGGTGCTGGGGGGAGTTGGGAAGGAGAAGGATTGGGTTCAGGGCTTGCCATCGGTGTGAGGGGGTGTGAGGGGGTCAGGGAGAAGGCTCACCTGCAGCTGCTTCCTCTTCCTCCTCCACGTGGCGCTCCTTCTCCCCCCCCCCCCCGCGAGTATCACGGTTCACCGCTTCTTATATATATATATATTTATATATATACACACACACTAAAATAAGCATTTGAAACAGTTGTAAAATCACATAGATGAGATGAAGGTATATGAGGAGTTGGGTAGGATGGGGGGAGCAGTTGGGAAA